GCACAAGTGTCTGTTTGAACATCTCCATCATAGTTATTTTGGATCCTTTAAGTAACGCTCTCGGATTTCCACGTTCTGTTTGTAACCTATTTGCATATCAAATGCTTCCCTGGGAGAATTGAGCTGTCAGCTTCAATTTGTTTCACTGAATCAGTACAAGAAAACAAGCGACGGGTCATCGAGGATGGCTTGATTTTTATTGGCCCCACCTCATAACATTATGAAACGGTAGTTATCAGAGCTCAATGCATTTATCGTCCTTTCTTTAACGTGCTGACACCAGGTCGACGGGAGTTAATCGCAAAAAATACAACACTTGCAAAAAAAAACTTTTTTTTTTCCATTGAGGTGCAAAGACTGTATTTGTTACTAATCCTTCCAAAAGCTGAGGTGACCAATAAGTAAAAAAAAAACTTATCTCTTGCTGAGTGAGACAGGTTAAGCTGTGCAGATGCCACAAGCATTTCTGGTCCAGTCCAGCCACTCGTACCTTTGTGAGCATTGATCGCCAAGCAGAGGAGCAGTTCCTACTATAAAAACCTCCAGAGTTTGTTTTATTACTTCATTAAATCTTTTGAAGTATTTGGAAAGATTCAGTCTTTATAGTTCCTGAGATGTTTTGTAGTGTGAAGTAGACAGTAATTCAGCCGTTTTGTATGAGAGGCCCTTTAGGCCATAAATCAAACTTGCTCTCACATATACACTATATAGTAGTGGTAGTTTATTTGTTTTATTTGTAATACAAAATTTACAAAGTTGAAAAAAAACATACAATCAAAATGAAATCAAATGAAATGAAAGGACGCAGAAGAATAATAAATCTTATAATATCTGCCCCTTTTTTATACCCAAAATATGTTCAAAAGAAAAGTAAAATACAATAAAAATTCAAAACAACTTAAAACACTTAAAAACGAATTAGAAACAAAAATTAAGACACCAACTCAAACAACAATTAGCTTGAATTCACTTATARTTCTCCAAAAACCCTCTCACACATGGCCTAAAGGGCCTCTCATATAGTTTGGATGTGTTATGCAGTCGTTCAATCTTTTAACGTAGACAAAAATAAAAAGAAGCTGCAGCCCTGATTAGTAAGTGAAATCCATAAAATTGTCTCAGTGAAGCTGATGTAATGATGTTTGCCTGATGTGATATTTTTTCTCGTGCAACCTTTTTTTTTTTTTTGCATAGGGTTTGGTGTTTGAGGAGGAGCGACCGCCGCCGCCGAATCGTGCCCCTCTGGCCCCGATGCTGGAGTTTGTCTCGGCTCAGACAGGAGTTCCCGTTGTTGCCGTCGGGGGCGGAGCCAGTCTGGGACGGGAGCCACAGGTGAAAATGGATTACTTATCATTTCATCATCAGCCCCGTTTCTTTCCACTGAACCAAAAAAAGTACTAACTGATTTAGAACCAGAACACAGAGTCTGGGCAGAAATAAACGACAAGTGAAACTGAGAAGTGGAGTAAGACGTTGAACATCCACCGAGTTAATTTAAAAGACATTTAACAAATTTTTATCATCTTTTCCAAAACAGAAAACATCAAAAACGTTACAATTCATTGGGCAACTTGGTTGCAACTGAAAGCTACATTAAAATAAGGACATTCTGTGCCAGTAAGTGAATCTGARAACATTTATCTGGAAATTTAACCTGTTCTAAATGATTTTACATAATTATATCAAAAATTGTTTTCTAACTGTTATATTCTGGACAAGTCAAAGCCAATTTCAGTAGCAATATTCATAAATTTATTAGGCTTAATGATTTCTATGTCATGTTAATTACAGTGTTTCTTACTAAATAAGTGAGTAATGGGTGTCAGCTTACTAATAATTGTGAATGGTGATGTTCTATGGAGGTAAAAAAAACTGATAGGGAGCTTGATTTAACAAAGCAGTTCAACATGACAGATGTGACATTCAGTAAGTGGTCCAGTTTGTTTTTAGTGGATCAACTTGACAACACAATGTGGTTTTGTTATTTTACATGACTTAGCTTTGTTAAAAAGTTTGTGTTACACAGGCACTGAACTGACAGCATCCTGAACTATTCAGGATTAAAGCAGGTTTCTCTGCAGAACCGGTGCATTTGCTTTGAAGTGGCACGAGAGGAAGAACTTCTTCTGGACTTCAAAATCCGTCCATTCTTATTATGTCTTTTACAAAGTCCGGAAATTAGATACAGATGTTTGATTTTCACAAAGCTTAACATGTTGTTAACTTTTGAACTTCTGGTTCAGTTTGAAGTTTAGAAGTTAAAGAAAACGAGTCATCTGCTAGACAAAAGTATACTTTTTGTTTTAATGATTATTTATTCAGCTTTTGTAAYGACAGCAACATGGATATTTTTCCGTAATTCTCAAGTAAGAGCAATAATTAAGCCGAGAAAAAAAAGAAAATAAATATAGACATAAAAAAACCTCAACCAGCCTCTGACCACAAACAAGAATAGATAATAAGCTCTAATATTGGAGGTCCACATCATCTTTTTTATGTAATGTGTGTGTATCAGCAAACCAATGATGGTTTCTTAACCCCTAACTCAAGATAACAGATGAATGCAGATAAATGACATGCAGAGAATGTGAGTTACTCATCGAGTGCTTTTTGTTGGGGGCGGGTTCCCACCCCACATCAGTCAATTTCTTGGCAGCTGTTAGGCAAGCCAGAATAATTATTTTCTTGCACTGCAAAGCTGAAGTGAGGTTCTGGTGATAAGGGTTGGGATGAGGCCAACAACAATCAGTCCAGACTGAACTCCAATCAAAATCAGGCTTCACTTCTGGGCTGTTTCTTCTTCAGGGTGTGCAAGAAGAATTACCTCATAAAATGAAAAAATAAATAAGTAAAAAAGGAGCTAAGATTGCATTCAGTGAAAGTTTAGAATTTTTTTTACCCATTTCTCCTTGCAGTAGTTTAGAAAATATATTTGCTTAGAAAAGGTGTTGTAGTTGGATATAGACTGAGCAAAAATACAAGATTGGTGACTGAAAAACCACAATTTACTGATCCACATTCCCACCGTTCATTAAGTGATTCCTGAAAAAATGTGAGCAGAGAAAAGAGTGAAAAGCTGCTGTTTTAGAAGTTGTAGAGTAACACTGGTGACAAAAGGTTCGCAAAGCCTAAACTTACCAGAAATATAAGCATTTGCTTTTTTACAGAGTAGAAGTAAGTTTTTTTGGGGTATGTAGTTTTACCAAGTCTTTCTTTTTTTTAATTGTACCTTTTAATTTTATTTTGTTACATTCAAAACATTAAAAGGATACCCTACTTTCACTTCTTTACAATAAATCTAACACCTCATTATGCACCACACATACAACCCTTTTATAAAACAGGTGTTAATTGATTTACTTTTACTCAACTCATAGCTGACATAAATCAACACTTCATTTCTTAGAGTGTGTAAAACTACTTTTACTTTTATGTTTTTTTATTATTGCGAACATTGTTAGTCTTATCAGTGAAACTATTTTTTACAAAAGTCATTTTCTGTTAAGGTTTTTTTTAAGTACTTCATAGACTTCTAAAACACACGAGACATCAGTACACACTAACAACTGGACTGGTATTTTTCCATCAGTGATGGTGACAGTATGGTTCTTGTGAAATAAATGCAGAACACAGCAGCTTTTCTTTAAGTGATAAACTCAAAAAGTTGAGTTCTCCTGCATAGATTTGATGCAGTTTTGGCCCAGTGTTGGAAGGTCATCCTGCCCTGCTCAAGTATGCCGAAGTATCTTTGAGGGAGACACTGAATCCCCCGGTGTTCACTCAACATGAGTGAAAATACACCATTGTCTATAGAGAGTGTAATATATATATAAAAAATAAAAATTCCCTTCTCACCCTCCGCGGGTGGTCTCTTTCATCATCTGAGTTTGGGTCCTCTACCAGAGGCCTGGGAGCTTGAGGGTTCTGCGCAGTATCTTAGCTGTGCCTAGAACTGCACATTTCTGGACTGAGATGTATGTCTGATGTTGTTCCTGGGATCTGTTTTAGCCACTGATCCAGTTTGGGGGTGACTGCCCCGAGGCCCCAATGACCAC